TTTTTTCTCTCCCACAGGGATAATGTCTGCCCAAGTTTGACTATTTTCTGCTCACTACATTTGTCATATGTGAATGGCAAGCCCCCTAAAAAGACATCATGCAGAGGTGGCTCGAACTGTACCAAAGACAGAGAAATGTTGGTAAGACAGCTGTTGTTCTGAAGGGGTGGAAGTGCAAGCCAACTTTTCTAAAGTCTAACACTCTGCCTGCAGACAGCTGATATCTCTATTGAGCTCAGGTTAGTTCTTCTTTTTTTCTCTTTCACTCTCTCTATCAATTGAAACTTTCTTATAAACTTTTTATGCAGCATGCCAATAGGATTTGAAGAATCCCTTCAGGCACTTTCCGTGGTGTCAACAGGTCAGGATCAATCTTGATGAATGTGGTGAACTGTGAATGTTTACAGACAATTTGTTATGCTGATGCATGTTTGAGAGTTCTCAGAAAAAAAGAGGATAAACTGAAAGTTTCTTCTTTGTGTGGAAGGCCTGCTTAATGCTTTCAGATGCAAGAGAATTTCTTTCAATTCCATAATTGCATAATCATTGTATAATTTCATGGGAGTAATTACTGTGATTAAAAGCCTGATTAAAAATTAAAGCCATAGATTCTATGACTGTGTTAGTATTATGGTTTTTCGTAAAACAAAGATGCAAGGATGAAAAACAGTGATATATTTATTCTTTATTAAAGTTGTCAAAAATGGAAGAATTAATTTACAAGATTATTGCATTGATTTCTTTCTTCCCTTTGTGGAGACGTGGTAGATGAAAGCATTTTTGTAATCAAATAAAAACTGAAAAGATATTGTCAATCAAAACTGTCATTGTGTCTGCAGCTCACACCTTTTTTTTTTTAGAGAGAAATAACTTTTCATATGCTTTGGAAAATGACTGATGAATTAAATGAATTCAACAGCATCCCGAGGCAGATGCAGACTTATAAACTGAGCGAAAACACTCTGATCTCCAGGATGATAGATCGCACTATATTCTGTAACAAAACACAGGCGCTTATCACACTATTTCACATTTTATCACAACAAGTAATTTTCTTTAAAGAAGGAGTCTGCGCTTGGCTGCGCATGGTGCATATGAATAGCCAAGTAATGCAGTACTATAGATAATCACAATGGATCAAGATTAACAGTCCCATCACACAAGGTGAACCCCAAGGCCGATCCCATGCCAGCACACTTTCCATCAAAGTCGAGATTAAGATGTTGTGCAGCTGTAGAATATCATCCAAATGTGTTGCCTGGGACTGAGAGGGTCATGTTCACATCTAGTAGATTTAACTGCCTCTCTGTGCCCCATTGACTGTTGGAGAAATGAGCCATGCTCAGTGTGAAATGGTGTGTCACTGATGAGGCCACACAGGTAACCCTGTGCACTCAGTGAAAGACCCCGCATCATCAAATAGAAGTTAACTCAGGTCATTACTCAAGTTTTTGCCTTATTTCTTCATCTGACTCATCATCAAGACGTGCACTCAAGATGTCATTAAACTGTTGTCATAGAAACCTCTTCGAACCGCCACACATTGTTTTTAAAGCTGAATAATGAATTATTTTAACCGCAGGTGAAACTTCACCTTGAGCCAGTTATTATGAGGATGAACAGATTCTTGGAGAGTATCAAAGCAGGCTGTCGAACTCTCTGTTGGCAACAGGTAAATAAAAGGTTCATGACAGTCGGACTCCGAACCTCATTGGGATGCTAAATGGTTTTCTTTAAGTGCTCTCATTTCTGTTAATGATTGCGGTGGTGTGGTGTGTGCAGTGACAATCCCCAGGCTCTGGCTAATCATCCCGTTACACCGGATCACACAGACAGGCTCTATGGAGTCTTTAAAGCTTGCTGCTCTCACAATGAGCAAACATCCTGTTTTTTTTTTTGATACAATATAATGGATTTCCCTCCCTGTTAGGTTTTACATGCTGATGCTGCACAAGGCAATTAGTGAAGAGCAATGCCAAATGATGCCTGGTCTCAAGCTTCCTTTTCTGTGTGTAGTTGATAGGAAGCTGATAAATCAAAGACTCTACATGGGTGTGTAAATGTGTTTGACTCTGTGTGTTATCTGGATGATGGATTGGCAATCACTTTGGTGTGCTTCACTGTCTTCCACCCACTGCATGCTGGAGAAGGCTCCAGCCTGTTATTACTGACCCTCAATAGGAATAGGTGGGTGTAGGTGATATATAGATCTATAATTCTCATTTGTGAAATTTTCCAGATTCAATTGTAATGCAGGCATGTGTTGCAAGGATGTCAGGAATCTGGGAACATGGTGTGCCTGCTCCCCAGACATCCTTCACACCGCAGTCTGTGGCTTAAAAACAAATTACAACATCAGAGTCCTTCCGACTGTGCACTTCACATACCATGTGTATTAGACTGGAGGATTCCTTTAAAAGCATACAGCAAGTTTGCGTTCATCACAGACAGCAGCTTCATGGAGGATTCTTCGCTTTGTCCCGCATGCTTACATAACACCATGCACAACTGATTGAGAGATTTTAGGTGATTATGTGTTGTGACAAATTGCTGAATCCAGTCAGCACTGCACCTAGATGATACCGCAGCTATTTGTAGCTTCCAGGATTCAGTGGCTGCACCATTTTCAATGATATCAGCTTCAGCAAAAAGTGTAAAAATTGGCATATTGATTATAATCTTCCTGGCCAGTTATGACTGACTTTCTGACCCTGTCACACATGCAGACAAAGCAGAGAGAGGCAGAGAGAAAGGTGCAAAGAGCTTTTCATGCCAGGCATCTTAAGCATTTTTGTACGACTGGCATTTGGCAAAGTAAAAAAAAAAAAAAAAAGCGTAGAAGCCCAAGAATGCCAAGCATAAACTCGGAAAGTCTGTAATGTTCTTGGGAGGAAAAAAAAACAAAAAAGAAAGACAAAGGAAACACAAACATTCAAGCCTGCCCCTGGAGACGGAGGAAAGCAAAGCTGCCCTGCCTGGCAACAGCACTCATTTTGGCTGGCTTTCATCTGGGCTTGGCCTTTTGACAATAGATGCGATTGAAGCAATCTTCACAGCCTGCATTTCTATTTGTCTCAAAGGTCAACCATTCAGAATTTGGAGGTAAAGGGGAAAGGGTGAAGGGGGTAGCGTGTTCATTGCGGCATAAACAGACCTTGATGAATGATCAAGGACCTGGGTGCATATGTCTGTCTGTGAACACATATGTTTGTGTGCTAGTGTATACATAAAGGTGTATTTATCAGTATGCATGGGCTCATATGTGTGTGGGATTACAAGTATTTGGCTGCATTGTGTCTTTACACACTGTTGCCTGTGTTAATGCTGTGTGGGGGTGTACATGTGTGCCTGAATTCCTTTTGGCACAGACTTTCAGCATATGCCTGTGATACTGTCTGCGGAAGCTTTGGTCTCTGTGATCTCTTCATGAACTCAAAACTCTTATCCACTTCTGCCACTCCATCTACTCTCTGTGATGACCCCCATCAATTTTCATAATCATCCTTTTACTCCCCTTTATTATCTGCCTTCCATCTCCCCGTCTCTCCAATGCTGTATTCTCATCTCCCTTCTTATCTCGTCCTCGTCTCTCCAGAAGATAGCCCCGATCCACAGCTGTACTAAGCCGGCTCAAACTCCTTCTACATGAATATTTCATTTACATATTTTTTTTTTTAAATAGTGATCTTAAGGGTGACAGGGTAGCTGTAAACACTGTTGATGCAAAGTATGGATGGGAATTTGGGCCAATGTGTGAAGTTTTCAAACCAACAAATGGGATATTCTCATATCAAAGTTATTAAGTGTGGATGCAATTAACAACTTGCTTTATATTGCAAATGGAAAAACAAACATGCTGTTTAAAACCTACAACTCAGAAAAGTAGTTGCCCGAGTATACAGCTTCTGTTTAAATATTCCCAAAAAAATACCCAGAGCAATGGGTATTGAAATCAAATATATAAACACTCTAAATTCATAATTTGAATGTATAACAATGTACTGGAGGTCAGTAATTACATTACGTCACTGTTTGCGTAGAAACAGGCTCTGTAAATTATACAAAGCTCCAAGGGTAACTTCGGGGTAAGATGAAGCACTGTGTAGCAGGCAAGATTTACATAAAACAGCATTACATGCAACAAATGTGAGAGGAGACTCTCTGACTTCTGGACCAAGTTGTTTCTCTACAGTATTACACAGAGGAGGACTGTTAGACTGTTGTTCTTCCTCCCTTGGGACTGAATCACATCTAAGGTAAATCAATAATGCTTCCTGCCGCTGTCTCATGGTTATATGAAACAGTGCAAGCACAAAATGAATGTATACAATCAATCCAAAAGCTAGAGCATTTATTTGAAATGTTCAAAAAAGGTGTCTTATTCCAATATAGGCTTTCATGGCTTCAGGGGGGAAAGTTGTGAAAGTACATCCTGAGTTTAAGCGAATGATGGATGCTGTGTTCTTGTCTTTGCTGGGGGACATAATAATGATGAGACACATCAATCTTTATTACCACTCCACCACCCAGTCCAGAACATCCAAGGGCAACAGAAATATTGCACTCACAGAGAACATTTATCTTCACAGACCTGCCTATAGCTTTTGGCTGCAAGGGAAACGGTCTCTTTCTAGATTTTGGACCCAACATTTCAACATAATTTGTTATCTTTGTAATTATCTATGAAACATGACTTATTCAACGCTATACAGCCAACTTTAAGCCGAATAATAAGGATTTTATTTATAGTGAGCGCCAGAATGACTCAATTTCATATACAACAGGGGATGAATCCTTATTTCAATCAGTGGCAGCCATAATTTTATGCGTTTCCATTGGTGGACTCGTCTGTCTATATAATCGGTGCTGCTCTCTTATTGGCTTAACGACGCAAAACCCCGCCTTTTCGTACCTGTCGATCTGTGAGAGGCCGCCAGAGCTTTGCAACGCCCCGCCCATTGCTTCCTTCCCGCCCCTTTCCACCGGCGTTCAATCGTGTAGCGGATTGACTATTGCAGGCTCTGTATGTGGCGCATGAGTATGCGTTTCGGGATGTAACGGCTGTATCTCGGTTTAACGATACTGAATTTAAACATATATACAAACATATATATATGCACACGGGACTTAGAAGATAGGATACCTTAGGAGAGCGGACACTAAATAAGGGAGTTTACGACAGCACGGAGCGGAGGCAGACACGGGAGCGTGGCAGGAGGGACGCTCTAGCAAACCCAACCGACACCGCACGCAGAAATGGCGGAGCACCACGCAGCCAGCGACGGCAGGCACAAAGCGTCCACCAATGCCGGGGGCTCGGTGCACGGGAACAGCCGACCCGGCGCCGCGGGTGGAGGAGGGGGCAAAGGAGGCCTGTCTGGCGGACTGACACAGCCAGCAGGGTGGCAGTCTCTACTCTCGTTTAGTATTCTTTTCCTGGCCTGTCTGGCGGGATTCAGCTCCAGACTTTTCGCGGTGATCCGGTTCGAGAGCATCATCCACGAGTTTGATCCATGGTAAGCTAGCTAACGTTTGTCAGGTCAGCTTGGTTCCCAGGTGACAATTGCTTGTAGTGGCAACGAAAGCCAGAGATTTAGGTCAAAATCGTCCCAGGAGGTCTTTTCTTTAAAATTTATGATAACGTATAATAATTTCACATTATTATTTTAGAGTCAGCACAACAACGACTGTTTTGAACACAGCTACAACTACTTAGATGTTCTGTTAACGTCTTAGCTCATACTCAGGAGAAACTGTTGTTTTCTCTTGATGAACAATGACAGGATTTTTCTCTGATGTCCTTGGGACAAACACTTTGAATGTGGGGGTCGGTGGCCTGATGTGTACTCTGTTTGTGGGACCATGACATTTAAATGTGATGATCTGAGCAGCTAGCTTGTCTAGTTTGATTTTGGCATTCATCAAATAATAAGTCTAAATGATAAAGTGAGGCGTGTGAGGAGCCTCCAGCTGCAGGTACAACTTTTTTTTGATTGTAGAAAAACGTGTGAACAACTGGAGGAAGAAACGCATGATTTTTCTACACTCAGCTCTAGTTTTAATTCAATGAAAACTCAATTTACTGTGAGAGGGTGGAGTTGAAATAGTTTTTGCTTTTTGATCGAGATTGTCGGCTTATGCGATTGAATGATTGAGGCTCTTTTAAATGCAAGTAATAATTTTCTTTTAGACCTATCATAAGTTGTCGTTGAATTTATAAATGGTGAGTAGAGAATTGCATACTGGACTATCAGGTTTTGCATAAATTACAGCCGGTGCTCGTCCTAACAGCAGGCTGTGTAACCCGGAAGCCAACTGATCCGGTCTGGTGTGTCTGTCATCACAATGCAGGATTATTCCGCTTTGTAACAGTGTCACATGGGCTCACAAGTGTCCGCCTGGTTGCAATGCACTGTCATTCCCTCAGTGCTCTCATATACTCTGTGGCATTCAACCAGACAGCACTACTGATGCATTAATTTATTAATTTTCAAGGACAGGTGCTATGTCTTGTTCAGGGTGACATTCCTCTCTTCAATTATGTTGATAACTTGATTGCATTTTGTAGCCAAGGGCCGCGGCTTAGGGTTATGAGAGATTTACCATTTACATACAGTTCAGATGAGCTTTATCCTGCTTTGAGGCTGGAATTTGCACCAAGGACTGACCTTAGCACTGTTAATGAGTAGTTGCAAGTGTCACACGCTCCTGAGAAACTGTGGTCTTTCTTCATGGCCTTCATATATCCGATAATTGTTCTGGGTGGCCACACAGTTGGTACATACAGTATATGACACTTCCAAGTTGCAGTAGGAGCTATTTTGCCTCAGTAGGGGCTACAAAGTGGCATCAGTTTCTACAATTACAGAGCTAAAACTGCATAGCTCTTTGGCAACATGTCCAGAAACAAAAGCAAAGGCAGTCTTTGATATTTAAAAGTTTAAAAGCCCTTGCAGCTATGAGTAGTCTACATCTGTTGCTCTTTTTCTTTTCTGTTTTTCTCTTGGACCCTGAAAACAAAGCCATGCTTGAATGGGACCGTCTGTTGCGGGCTTAAATGTGTAAGATGGTGAATTCAGCCACAAAGTGATGTTTTATTTTTATGAGAAAACTACATTTGTCAAAAGAGAGATTTACACCAGAAATACTGAATATTTGCAGTCAGCTATTAATAAATTTTGCAACATTCATCCCCTCCCTACAGTCATCTTTTGACCCCGTGTGTAATCCTGATCAGCTTGCTGAGAACCATTGCCCTACATTTTTACAATTGTTAACGCTTTCGGGAATTCTTCGGTGTGTACGTGCAATGCATGTTTCTCTCACTCTGAGAATGTGGTCTCAGACTTTTGGACCCCATTCCCACTACATATGAGCCAGGGTGCTAGAGTTTTGTGTAGATTAACACAAACTTGATCCCAGTGAGCACTGTTTTGCCCAGAATACTAAATGGACTATTATTCAAATATGCGTTCTGATATCGTCTGTTGACTCTTAGAAATGAGATGAGTCTTTATCTCTCTAAAAAGTGGGTTTTTTATGATAATTAGTTTTTAGTTGCACCAGGTATTATAGCTTCCTCACCTTATTTTGACAGTGAGGAATGAGAACGTGTATTTTACACCTGCAGGCAAATGGGCTGCTGATTGGAAGTGGCCGTCATTCCCAGACACGCATGATTAGTGCCGTTGTCGTCTGAATGCTTGGATGCTGCTATTGATTTTCCTCTGCACAGAGCTTCAAATTACCTACAGCTAACCATTTCGTTAAACAAGCTGGCAATTTGAAGAATCGAGATTGGATTTACAAGCACCAAAAATATCAAGCTTATTCTGCAATATGCAAACACCACAAGGCAAGTCCCTGATATGACTTTTCTGTTATCTGGCTGTGCTCATTTTTGTTTCCTAATATTTGTTGATCATTGGAAAAACAAGCAAGCTTTAGTTGGCATGCAAGTGAGAATTTTTGCTCTTCTCCGTTCATAAACATAATTAAATTCAAAAGTTGTGCCCTGACTTAAAAATGCATTTCACTTTCTTTAATCAACTCCAAATTAATGCTCAATCTTCTTCAGGCAATGAGTCAGTGGATGGTTTCTGCAAAGAATATTGTTATGACTGCCTTCTAGACTAAACCTTGTGGAGGTGTAACTCTCCGACCCTGCTTGTACAAATATATCCCTTTTTTGAAGTACTAGAATTTGCCTAGTATCTGCTTCCCTCCTTTAACTAGACTGGAAGCTGGATGGTGAAGCACATGTGTGTATGGGAGGGGTGCGTTCCTTGGAAGCAGTCAAGTCTTTATTCCACCTTGGTTATGTCAGGAAATAGAGTCCGTTCTGACAGTAGAGTGAGGGGAGATGAAGCATCTCTGTCAGGCAAATAATGAGCTGGATACTGGGGTATAGCAGCACAGACATACACATTCACACTCACACTTACACTCATACTCTCTCTCTCTGACCTGTCGGCAGCAGAACTGCTGCTGCTGCTTCGCATGACTGGAGCTTTGCTCAAGGTCTAGATGGAGGCTTCCCGTGTGCCATAGAGGATATTAGCTTTCAGTAGTTAAGTCCACTAAAACAGTGTGTTTGGACATGTGTGGTGCTAAAATGATGAGCTGATGAATTAATTAGTTGAATTGTCAATCAGTCATTTATCATGCAGAAATACCAAAAATCTGTTTGTGCGTCTTTTGTTTTTGCTGCTTCATATTATGGCTGCAATGAATGGTTATTTTCATTATCGATTACATTGACTATTATATTCTCAATTAATCTTTGGTAAAAATGCCTGTAAACGTCAGAAAATCTTAGTATTTAAGAGGATGAAAACACGTGATAGTTGATAGTTTCAGATCATTTTTCTGATGATTTGATTCATTAACTGATCTTTGCAGCTCTTTAAATCATATAAACGTGAAGAGTATCCTTTGGTTTTTGTGACTTTTTTTCCCTTGCAATATTTAGATACCTCCACCCAGGGTATCTGCTCATACCAATCTGTTACCAGTGACTCTTTTTCTCAAATTTAAAATCTGTATGTATCACTGTGGGAAACTCATTTAAATAATTTCTATGTAACTAACATGAGGCCAGGTATTACTCAGTTTTCATTACACAGTGAGAACTGAGCTGGTGATCCATCATGATAAATGTAATTGATAGTGGAAACACTGAATTTTATTACACTGACAAAGAAAATGTATTTAATGTGGGTATGTCACGTCATGTCGGGCACCAAATCTACTGAATCAGGCCACTGTCGGTGCTAGTAGGTGCAGTTCTACGTTGGGGGTTTGGTATCCCGCGATAGGCATTTTCCATTATTTTTAGCTTTACACAGACCAAAAATTATTGATCAAACTGGTAGTTTAAAATAATTGTTAACCGTAGTTGTCGTCATTGATGCTGGTTATGATGGCTAAAAGTGGCTAAAGTGATAAAATGGTTGCAGTGCACAATAGATTATGCATACGACTGGCAAATCAGAAATCTGGATTTATTTGCAAGATGAGAAATAGATCCAAGTCTTTTAATTGTTCAGGTGGGTTGAAAATGTTATGTTTAGGTTAAGGTAAGATACAGTTGGGATTGTAGTATTTGTGTCATCTGCTGCTGTAGAGTTTTTGTGCCATCTGCGTGCACTCTCACTACTGTAGCGTTACCAGGTTAAGAGAAGATTTTCAGCCCATGAGGCATTGGAAAACTGCCTAACATGATCTAAAACGATCAGAACACATCATCTGTGCCTCTGCTTCCCCTCCCCGGCTTATCCTGCCTGCCTGTATGCTCTTTTACCTCCCGCTCCTTAGATATCCAGCAAATTTTGGGTGCAGTAGAATAACTTTTTTCTTAGGAAACACATTTCTAAAAATTGTAACAAGTGTGATTTAGCACTAAAATGTCAGCAGTCTCACAGAGGTCTTGCGCAATCCGCCACTATCTCAAATGACACTTTGATATCAGATAACACTTCAGACAGGATGTTTTAGTGTGTCTGACCCCTTTAATAATACAGTCTTTGCTGCAGAAAGTTGTTAAGTGCTGTGAAAATTAAATTGCCCCCACAAGTGATGTTACCAGCTCAGCTTTTTTGAAAAGCCAGCAAAATTAGTGGGGGTAGCAGCTTTTCTGTGTTCTCTCTCTCTCTCTTTCTGTCTCTCTCCCTCTCTCTCTCTCTCTCTCGCTATCTCTCTCTCTCTCACTCTCGCTCTCTTTTTTTCTGTCTTTCTTTCTTTCTTTCTTACAAACACACACACACATCCTGTTTTTCTTCCCTTCTGTCTTTTTCACATGCAAAAAAAAACAAAAAAACATGATGTTTAGCTGAAAGTTGATTAGGCCATCCCAGTAGCGGCTGCTGGCACAGCACCACCATAGGTACAGCAGTAGTGTGGGAAAATGGAGAATAATTCGTGATTGATCTTCCTACCAGGCACTTGGCTGGAGCAGTGATCCCTACTTAAACCCCCGACTGACTGTCCAACAGCTTATGAAATATTCAGTGTGGAT